GGATGGCCTCAGCCCCGGGGCACATGCCAGCACCGGGTGCAAGGGCATCCCGGTCCCCTGGCGGGTCCCCTGGCGTGCCCCTGGACGTGCGGCCCCGCCCCCGGGCGCCTGGCACGTGAGTGGCCCCGCCCCCAAGCACCTGGGAGCCTCTAAAGGTTGGGGTCCACTGACTTACACTATCGAGTAAGAGCAGAAAATGCACAAGAGGCCCAGACAAGGGGACTGGAACATTCTGTATATTGGGGGTGCTGAGAGCCACTGAACCAAACTATAAGCCCCGTGTATATAGGGTTGACAGATGGTTGAAACAAAAATACCAAACCCCTCTCCTCCCCTCAAAAAAAAAAAAAAAAAAAAAAAAAAACACCACCCCCCCCCAAAAAAAACACCCGGAAAAATTCTGTTGAAGGGGAAAAAAAGAGGGGGGAGACCAAGGACTTATTAAGCCCCCCCAAAAATTAAAATAAAACAGCATTAAAACAGCATGTCCCCTTTAAGAGTGAGTGCAGGGATAGGAACAGGGGGGAAGCACTAAGACCCAGCATTGTTTCCCTTAGGTCAGTGGTCTCCAACCATTAGAGGTTGCCGGGCGCCAGGGGGCGTGGCCATTCGCCCACCAGGTGCCAGAGGGCGGGGACACTTGCACGCCCGGGGCCAGCGGCCCCCTCCCCCAAGGGCCACATGCCTGGGGCCGGTGCCCCCCCACGCGCCATGCACCCAGAGCCTGGGCAGCCAATCCGCAGCGCTCCCAGGGCTCACCGTGCACCACGTGGCCGGGGCCAGGCCAGCCCCGAGCACTTGGCCGGCGCACACAAATGCCCCCGCGGGCACAGTGTTGGGGACCACTGCCTTAGGTCTTTTGACCAACAGCCATTTTGTGCCGGCAGCCTTGGGGAACCAGGTAAGCATGGGGGCTGAGGTCAGGAGGACTCGGGGGGGAAAGGGGTCTGGGCACTGAGTGTTGGGGTTGCCTGGTGCAAGGAAAAACTCAGAAAATACCAGACATCTCAGGTGTCCGATATTCTTTGAATTTTTTTTTACCTGATAGGAGGCAAAAATACCGAACTGCCTGGGTGAATACCGGACACCTGGCAACCCTATGTGTATAATGGAAACCAATTCAGGCCTGGGGATGCTGCAGCTCATCTGCACCACAGTTCCTTCTAAGGTCCATGTGGTAGCTGCCCACCTCTTCAGGAGAGCTGTGCAATGGCTGCTTAGCTGCTCCGAGGTGGGGCCGTGGAGCGGGTGGCTGCCCCACCCCAGGAGCAGCAAGGCAGCCTCCATGCAGTCCTGGCCCTAGCTTCAGCTCTTCCTCCGGGCTGGAGCTCTCCTAGCGAGGACAGCCGTACTGCAGTCCCAGCTCCCAGGGTAGCCACACCGCAGCCTGGGCTCCAGCTTCGGCAGCCACCATGTGGGTGAGCAGGTAGGCAACTTGGACACCAGTGTTCTTTGCAGTGAGTATTGAAGTGCAGTACGGGCCTGGGTGCCAGCTGGTTGAAACAAAAATACTGCGCACGCACGCACACGAAAAAATTCTGTTGAAGGAAAAAAAAAGGGGGGGAACTGAAGTTGTTGATGGGGAAAAAAAAAGGCTCCAGGACCATTTTGTGCCGGCAGCCCTGCAGAAGCAACTTGGACACCAGTGTTCTTTGCAGTGAGTATTGAAGTGCAGTACGGGCCTGGGTGCCAGCTGGTTGAAACAAAAATACTGCGCACGCACGCACACGAAAAAATTCTGTTGAAGGAAAAAAAAAGGGGGGGAACTGAAGTTGTTGATGGGGAAAAAAAAAGGCTCCAGGACCATTTTGTGCCGGCAGCCCTGCAGAACCAGGTAAGCATGGGGCCTGGGGGTACTGGGAGCTGAAGGAGAGGGGGAAGGCAAGGTGCTTCTCAGTTTAAATCTCTGTGGTAATCACAGGGATAGGATCACTGCTAGGGTCACCAGGTAGTCATTAAAAAAAATAATAATACCGGACCGGGGACGATCTGGAGCAGGAACCAGCCAGCGGGACGCAGAGCTAGCGGAGCGGCGGAGGGGAGAAGGCGGGAGAAGAGGAACTGGCCGGGGAAGAACCGGAGTAGGAACGCAGCCAGCAGGACGCAGAGCTGGCGGAGGGGGCAGGGGAGCGAATCAGCCGGCAAGGAACATGACTGACCCGGCCAGTGCAGATCATAGGGCGCTCCCGTCCCATGCGACTCAGTCCGGCTACGGCTCCAGCGCAAGAGCACGGACCGGGCTGCTCTCCCTCCTCACACACAATCAGAGCTCCCAGCGCCGATCACACCCCGCCCCCACAAGGCTTCTGTCTGGCGGCCAGCCGGAAAACCAGGAAATACCGGATGTTGCACATGTATGGTATTTTCTGGATTTTATTACCGGACTGTCAGATAGAAAACCGGACACCTGGCAACCCTAGTAGCAGCAGTAAGAGCTTCCACCCTAATGGGCCCCAGCAGATGCCTGTCTACACTGGCCGCACGTTCTTGCGCAAGTACACTGACGTTCTAATGTATGAAATCAGGGCTTCTTGCGCAAGAACTCTGATGCTCCCGCTCAGGAATAAGCCCTTTTGTGCAACTGTTCTTGCGCAAGAGGCCAGTGTAGACAGGCAACATGAATTTCTTGTGCAAGAAAGCCCGATGGTTAAAATGGCCATCGGAGCTGTCTTGCGCAAGACAGCATCTACACTGGCATGGATGCTCTTGTGCAAAAGCACATGCCAATGTAGACGCTCTCTTCTGGAAGAGTTTTTGCACAGTGTAGACGTAGCCAGAGTGGAGAGAGCTACAGAATACGGGGAGGCGACAGGGATCTGGCATGCTTTCCCTTTGTGATGTGCTGGATTGTTTGGGGGCAGTCTGGGAGCCCTGTTTTAAATGTGTGCTATAGAGCACCTGGGTGTGATGTCGGGGAGGGAGGTTAGTTTATGGTACAGATTGCTCTATGGTGGTGATAGTTTTCATCCACACTAGTAAGGAGGGGAGAAGGTGAGACAGGGTCGCCTGTGTGCAGGGCAGGGGCCCCCTGCATCCCTGTTCCCCCCTCTCACATCCCTCTTCTCCTTTCACTGCCCTCAGACTCTCAGAGTCCCCAGCCTTCTTCAGCCCCGTCGACACATGTCTCTAGGATGCCGCCTGCCTCTGCCCCTATCAGAGGCAGTGGGGGGGGGAGAGGGCAATAGGGGAGGCTGCTGCAGAGCAACCCCTGTCCGCAGGGGTCCTAGTAGGGAGCTGGGCCCCCCACGGAAAGGGGCTGCTGCCACCAAGCAGCCCCTGTTCGCAGCAGCCAGGGTTG